AAGATAGCCGGAGCAGAGGCAGAGGCGGTTGTGGTCGTGGAAGTCGTGATTGTGGCTATGGAGGAGACGTTGAGGATCGTCGAGGACACCACTAGCATGATTGTCATAGTGGATCTGGCCGTGCAGAAGTTGTGGAGGTTGCTGCGAAAGAGAAGGAGAAAATTGTCACTTTTGATGAAGAGAAGAAGCTTGGTATTTGTCAATACCAAGTTCGAGTACAAGTGACCAAGATCAAAACTGAAAACTAATATGGAAATTATGATACATATATCATAATTGTATCATATAATCAGCTTCATTTACATATAATTTTTAAAAGAATTTTTATCATTTTTTATTGTTTGATAATCAGCTTGCTGATGTGTCAATATCCTATGGATTGTATAGGAATTGACGGCTTTGATTCATTCTGATATTTTTCTATGATAAGTCAAGTGATGTAAAGTTAGTCAGCGGATTAAAGCATACATTACAATTAAGGAATTTCAAGAAAAGTTGAGTGTGAGAATTGGAAAACATATTGAGAGAAAGAAAATCACTCATGTTTCCCAAGCAAGACAAACTCTTCCACCCTCACATGATTCTCTCTATCTCAATTTGTTTCTCAATTCTCACACTTGACATTTCTAGAAATCCCCTAACTGTAATGAATCACTTAATCTGTTGACTAATTTAAAATTTTCAAGACTAATTGGAAATCCTAACTTATAGGAAAAAAATATAAGAATTAATCAAAGCCTTCAATTGGGCAATCATACAGCCCATAGGATATTGACAAATTAGCGAGCTGATTACTAAACAATAAAACCGACAAAAAACTCTAACAAAAGACATGTAACTAAATATGATATTTCACAATCTCCACCTTATTTTTCAGTTTTGATCTTGATCACATGTACTCGAACTTGGTCCTTGTCCTTCACTGATTCATCGTTTGAGTATGCTCATTCACCTTGCATCAACTCCAAGAAGCTTTAGACATAATCAAAATTTTCCAAAAGTTATCACTTTTGTGCCACAATCTGTTGGGTTATCATCACTGTTGATTTTTGCAAAGTTGATGTTGCCATCAGTGATCTTTTCTATGATGAAGTGATACTTGATGTCAATGTGCTTTGTTTTGTCGTGGAACATCAAATTTTTGCGCAGATAGATTGCACTCTGGCTATCGAAGGAGAAGAGTGTTGTTGTATCTTGGAACACATGTAACTCCTTTAGCATACCTTGAATCCATATAATTTCCTTCACTGCCTCAATGACAGCAATATACTCTGTCTTTGCTGTGGACAGAGTCACAACATGATGTAATTACGACTTCTAGCTCACGCAATTGCCATTGATTAGAAAATTGATAAGATGTAGTAGAATTCCTGCTGTCTTTATCCCCTACGTAATTAGAGTCTACATAACCCTCCATCAGAACTGAACTGCCTCTTTTGATGTACTGCAAGAGTACATCAAAACCACATCAGTAGTGAATTTCAAGTACCTTATGAGATGCTTCATAGCCAGCTAGTGTTCCTCGCTAGGATTTGACATGTACCTGCTAAGAAAACTAATGACATGGTCAATATTTTGTCTTGAACACACCATAGTGTAAAAGAATATGTAAAATCTTTCATGGTTTGCTTTCACATATGACATTGACTTGCAAAGAATCAAGTATTTACAATCATCAACTTTTGTTTTTGATCTTTATAAACAATACATGATGCTTTTATCAATTAATATATATATATTTTTTGTCTTAATTTTTGCAATTTTTATAGAATTATATTTTGTTCATACATGATGTAATTTGCAAAAAAAATTATCATACAAATATTGATAAATTAGTTAAAAATGTTGCAATCATACAAATTTAAAATGACATTTTAATGATAAGCTATAAAAAATCAACATTGCTTAGTGTACAAAGGAAAAATTTTTTAACTAGATTTAATTTCAATTTTTTTATTGATAATATGAAATTTTTTATACATTTGAGTTTTAAAATCTCTTGCAATTTGATAATTCGATCATAAATCAAAATAATGTATAAAAAAATTTTGCATTATGTCCTTGAATTTGAATATATCCGTGAATTTTTTCTGAACTCTTCATTAAGTTTTTCAAATCAAAATTTAAACATATTTGAAAAAGTATATTAATCATATATGCTAAAAAATTCCTTTCTATTATGTTCAGCAAAAAAATCTTCTCTACTCTTAAAAAAATCTGCAAAATGATAAAATAGGTAATTTTCTAAATAAATTTTTTTTGTTAAATTTTTTTAATTTGATTTAATATTAATTTTAAAATATTCCAATAATTGAGTAAAAAAATTACAAATAAATTTTTAATTTAAATTTACTACTATTTTTTCAGTGAAAATTATAAAATATTTCAAATGCTCATTTATCTTTATTTGAACTCCGAAGAGAGATATTTCATCATTCAAATTCAAAATTCTTGTTGATAAAAATATTTGATAGAATAAATGCTGACCATTTATGAAATCTTTCTGATTACCAATACAAAATTAAACTTGATTGTGTGATTTGACTTGACTAGATATTAGTTTGAATTAATCCTTTTTCGGTAATGTAAATTTTGTTACAAATTTGTATAATTTGTTAAAATGTCTATATATTAATTTTTTGACCAATTATGCTCGTTAGAAGAAACCAACATAGTTCTGGCACAAATTTCAATTGATTCAGCCTTTGTATCCTTCGATGATCATTAAACTCGGCCATTCAACCCAGCCATCATAGTTTTTTGCTGGCCTGAAGTGGGCTTCAGGCCAATTAAGAAACTCGATGTTCAGATGCAAACAAAGTTTCACTTCTAACAACAGGAGAGGATTTTTTGAAATTCTCAAATTGAAAGAAATAAGGGAATTAAAGTTGGAGAAAATGTATGAGTGGTCCCTTGTAGCAGAACATGGCTACTATTCTGGCCATTCATGAAGCTATGATGAGCCTTTAAATTTCGTAGTCTCGGGTCCAACAACCAATTTCTTGAGGCTCGCAAAAGTATGAGAGTCAACATTGTTTCTTCTCTTTTGATCCTCACCACTACATCTGCCTTTAATTCCTCGCAAAATATTTTTTGTTCTTAATGTATTTAGACATTTTATCCCTGATACTTCCAAATTCCACCACACATGAGTCAGTGCTAAAACACATGTGGATATTTTACAAGAGTCAAGGTGTTTACCATAAGGAGACCCTCCAATCTTGTGAAACATGTTTACATTACGTACACTCCACAAAAAGTGGCATGGTTTGGATGGAATCGAAAACTCGAATCGCCTCTTCCGCCAAGTAACGCTTCCGTCAAATCTAGGAACTACGTCACACTTTACCATCACCATGACCGTGCAACTCGTGAGCAATATAAAGAAGGTCATCGATACACCGCAGCACTCATCACCAACCAACAGGCGTACGAGCGTAGATCGAACGATCCGAACCTGTTGAGTCAACGAAACGATCTAGATCGGATTCACAAATGACGTCAACACGCATCTTCTGCGGTCGCCCAATTCATCATTCACAGTCCATTTTGCCGTGAAGAGCAATGTTTCGGAGTAAAGAGCAATTCCGATATTTCCCACACACGATTGTGTACGACAAGACATCGACACGACTGTGGTAGGCGCTGTGGACGCTGTAGCCCACTCGGTCGCAACCACTTTGGCTGCTCGTTGACCACGTACGCCAGGTGAAGGCCGAGGTTCAAGTGTCGACGCCCGCCTTCTGACGTCGGACGACGGCCCACGGTTACTGCCCGTCATTAAGACTCTCGGCGATCATGACGAGCTGTCGGAACGGATCCAGCTGATGACGACGGAGGAGTCGGAAGAGTCGCCGGCGAGCTGAAAGACGACGACGACGACGACTCCACTTTGACGGTGCGCCGTGTTCTGCCGAGAGATCTCCGGCGCCGATCTGACGAACTCATCGATTGCTCGGTCGAACGCAACATGCAGCTGGCGATGGAGTTTTTGGTGCCCGACAAGCCTGTCAATGGCGGAATCTTCGGGGATGGGGAGGTTCAGAGCTGCTGCGTGGCGAGTCTATGGCTCGGAGCTGGCCGACTCGCCGACCAGAGAACCCGGGCTCGGTGTCGCGGGTGGTAGGGGTACCATGATGCTATAATCTTTCCTAATTACTGGTCGTCGTCCTCGTCGGATGGGGCGTAGGTTCGGTGGACTTCCGTCCAAAGATCGAGGAGCACGGCATAACATCCCCGCCTACTTTCCATAGACTGGTTGGACTTTTTCTCCCATGGATGTTGGAGAATTTCGGACACAAGCTCATTGCGGCCTCATTTCCCTTCAACCGCCTTCCTTCCTTCCGAGCTGGGAGCACAACGTTACAAACTCTGAGATTCGACCTCCCACGGCGACCGTGGTCGTGTTTCAACTGACGCCAGCCACCTGCAGTTGGCTCCTATGATTTAGCCCCACATTCGTTCCGCGGTGCACTACCAAACTGCAATGGGGCAGTAGGGCAGTGCTTTTCATGGCGACTCCAAAGGTGACCGCACTGTAAATGGGAACCAGTTTAGCAGGAATAGCACAGTTTGGCTCCTCGGACTGATTCTTTCCTTGCTGTGAAAATTCACTGAGACCTCAGATGGTTTGTTTTCATTTGGTGACACATGCCGTCCACTACTTTTGATAGGCTGATGAGTCTTCCTCCTCTTCTCAATTCATTTCGTACAGTATCGAGCTTATGTATGGATGGACTCCACGCGATCACGACTCTTCGAGATATGAAATAATTACCCTCGTGCAGAAAAAGGTTTCCACTGACTTCATCCACTTCCCGAGTACAGAGTAGTAGGGACAGTGCATGCGATGCTATCCATCTTCAACTCTTCCGTCGCCGCATTCTGTTTCGCCCCTGGCTGCATCAGGCCATCGAGGTCTCCCTAAGCACGCGCACCGACTCCTATAAACCTGATCCGCACAGGATTATCACACTAACTGACAGGCTGCTGTCTTCCTGCACGCGTGAAGAAGGCATTCTCCTTCAGCTCAGAAACACGGCTTTCTGACAAGCAAGGCACGGGAAGGTGCATAAGACGAAAGTGCACTAAATAAACGTGCAGCCAGAAAGAGACATAACTATTTCCACTGCCTCGGAACATGGTACCGCCATTACAAGAGAATTTTCACTTGATTACATTACACTAACCTTCGGCAGAAGTGGGAACTCGGACTGAAAAAGTGGACCAGCAATTTGGACCCGTGCGGTCAGAATGTCCATGAATTATTGGACAACCCCAGCCTTCTAGTTGTGGGATTCTAGCAACCCGTAGCCTGTAGGGGACGGTGGAGAGTCCGGAGACTGCAATCATCAGGGAGGGGGAGTGTGGAGCGAACTTCAGATAGATTGGCAGGAGTGTATTCTCGAGTCAGTCAGGTTCGGAGAGATTTACAGGTCTGGAGGTTGACGAGAACTTTCCGCGGTCCCTGGAAGTAGCAGCAGGAGCAGCAGCCGGAGTGGGCACGAAGGAAGCGGGCAAGCGGAAGCGGATGTCATCCGAAGCTGAACTGGCACAGGAATTGTAGGGATCTGGTGGTCGGGAGCCACCGGGAAGGCGGGCAGGACAAGTCTACGGGCGTGACTGAAGCGCAGAATCGGTGGAAATTTCCTTTCGGATTGACGCGTGACGAATCCATGACGGGATAGGTTGTCTAGGACGGGAGCACGTGTTGATCGGACATGCAAGACTGGAAGGCTCAATTGAGGACTGACATATAAATTCAGGCAGCGAGTGTTGATGCCCAACGAACAAATTTGAATATGGTAGTGGAAGAAAGCACAGCGCCCTATGTGTCTCTCTCGAGCAGGTATATCGAACAGGGACTGGGGACTGTGTGCATACCCGTATTCTTCCATCTCCTGGTCTGCATGCCCGCCGACCCCATAATCACATCGTTTTGACTCTCAGTTGACTGCCTTCGACATTCTTATGCTAGTGCCTTCGGATTTTGGATTTGTTTGCTATACAAGAATTATCGGAGAGATGGGAGGTCTTTGCTGACACAGGCTTTACACACAATTAATCAGCTGGTCGCGGAAGTAGTCAGAGAGGTATTTAATTCTTCATCACAGACATAGTCGGTCCACCAGTCAAGCTCTTCGACAGTGATTTCGAACACGATGAGAACAGAGGAGATTGGAGTCAGAGTTAGAGATTTGTGAGATTCGGTGTTGTGAAAATCAGGGGAATGAAGAGACTGGACAGTCTTTCACGACTGATAGCTTTATTCCACATAATGAACGAAAGTGACTGCATCTGAGGATTCTTAAGTCGTTGCTAGCTCGCTTCGGGTTTCAAACTTCCTAAAGTATTTACATCTTCCAGAGAGGGATCGCCATCGAATATGGCAGAAACGGAGAGACAGATGGTGGCGGCAGAGGAGGAGGGCCATCGTGGCAAGGTAGGAGTGCTGAAGTTTGTAACAGCTCGAGTGATGTTTCAATCCTCTGCTGAACTTGTACTTTGTGCTCGACCGGAGCATGGCACCCCTCTTATTCCTAACAATCGTAATCTTAAAGTCGCCGTTGAGTCCAGTTCTCACCGACGAAGATGAATTTCTTGAAAGTGGAAGAAGTTCATTTTGCTGCCAGACGCTCTCTGATGATGTCTATTTTAATGATTCAGGGGCACAACCTTGCAGTGGTAATATCATGGATGCTGGGATGCGTGATGCTTTTCCCGTGGAATGCTCTTTTGACCATTAATGATTATTACTACGTGGTGTTTCCGGTAAGCTCGCACTCTGTCACATGGGACGACCCTCTGCTGCTTGTCTTGGATTTACCTCTGGTCTCGATATGCATGCAGAGTCAATTATGACTTTACCAGGTTTAATTTCTGATACACTTCTGGTCATATAGAATGATCATCCGTCTCGAGTATTCACGATCATCTACGAGCCCTTCGGTCTAGGTGTCACGCTCATATTTCTCTACTTCGAAGCTCGTGCAAGCACGAGATGGAGGGTTGTATCAGGGTTCCTTCTGTTCACTGCGAGTATAATCTTCATTATAGTGGTAAGTCCTTCTGTTCCTACTACTTTTTGACCCATGCGTCTACGGAGGTCGATTCATGCTGCTTAATTACTGGCTCTTCGAAGAAACTGAACATTTACAGTCTAGTCTGACATCATGGCAGAGCTCAATTGGTTAAAGTTTTGCTGCCTGCGTTGTCAGTTGGGTGTGCTCGTGTGGGTTGAGAAATTAAGCTAATTGATCGTAACGATGCGCTCCATAAACAGGTGGATCTTGTCAGTCACGGCGACGGTGGTCGTGGAGCGTTCATTGTCATGTGCTTCCTTATTATGCTTTTCGGTATAGCCGATGGAATTGTACAAGGAGGTCTTGTAGGGGAGCTGGCTTACATGCACCCCTCATACATGCAGGTATGGCGAGAAAAAGAACGTCATGCCAAAGAGAGCCAAAGTGTCCTTTTAGTTCTCAAAACATTAATAAACGATTGCAAATAGTGCATTGTCACTTAGATGGTCCAGTTAGCAACTGCCCGTCTCATTCCCATCAAATGAAGTTACAATATTTTAGAGCTAAGAGAGTACGCATCTAGCAATATTCGGACTGCCAGAGATGTCGATGTGATAGACTTGAACTTTTTGTCTATTCGCTTCAGGACAGTCTTGCTAAGCAAGTGAAGACAAAGTTTATGATTGTTTTGGATGGAATGTGGTCAATGTACAGGCTTACACTGCAGGACTTGCAGCATCAGGAGTGGTTACAAGTGGTTTGCGGATGATAACAAAGGCTGCTTTCGGTGATGGAAATTTCGGCTTGCGTAAAGGCGCTCGTAAGTTTCCTAAGACTCTGTCTGAAAGGCTTTGTCCTACTTGATTCTATTTCTACTAACTGGTTTGGATTGATCTTCTCAATATGCTTGCGAAATTAGAGTCGAAGGGAAATAAGGGAAATTGAAGTTGTTTACTCATCTTCCTTTCACTATGTGCGCAGTTGTGTTTTTGGGACTAGCTGCCCTGATCGAGATCATTGGGTTTCTTCTCTACATATTTGTGTTTCCTCGAATCGAATCTGTTAGAAAGTACCGTGAGAAGGCATTCCTACAGGGCTCTAAGGCGGTAGCTGATGCCGTTGCCCCAACTGTGGCAGATAGTGAAAAGACCACAGTACAGGTAAACACATTCTACTCTTACATCAGCTGGGATTCATCCCTGTTTCACGTCTTTATTCGAAACACATTGTGGAAGGCGAGAAATCTGTGATGTGCTGAGGTATTTTGAAGCTATTTTTGAGCATCACATTTGGTCATATAGCTATTTTGTTGCAAGGTAGCTGGTTCTCTGAGTGCAGTAGTTATTAGTGTATGTGTGCTGAAACTTACATTTGCAAGACATTAACTCTTGAAATTGATTTGCAGGGAGTGGAGTACAGAGAAGCAGAACGCAAGACCGTGAAGCAACTAATGATAGAAACTTGGGACTTCAATCTGGCTCTTGTCCTGATCTACACTCTTTCTCTCTCTATATTCCCTGGATTCCTGTATGAAGATACTGGAAAGCATAAGTTGGGATCCTGGTACGTTAATGTCCCTGAATCTCTTTTCAAGTTAAATTATATGTTTGATATCTCGTTTCTGTAGAGAAAAAAAAAGACTACATCTCGTGTGTTTCGAATGCTTCTTGCCCTATACATTTTACGCTTACAGCAGCTGGGATTCATCCCAATACGTAAAATTCAGATTGACATTCGTATGAATCAAATGAAGATAGTCTCTAGGTGTTCATATACGTACACGATCTTTGCAAGCAGCAAACCTCAAGTCTCAAAGGCAGGGTCAGGGGACTAGTGGGAGATTTATGTTACATTTCCCCTGCTGCAACTACGCATATAGAGGATAACTGACTTACTTGGATAACCTGCAGGTACGCCCTGGTGCTCATAGCAATGTACAATGCAGCGGATCTCCTGGGAAGATATGTTCACCTGATTCCAGGGCTATTTATGAGCTCCAGACCCATGATTCTTAACTGCTGCTGGTTGCGACTGGCGTTTGTTCCTGCGTTCTATTTCACTGCGAAGTACGCAGATGCAGGATACATGATCTTTTTGTGCATCATGCTGGGCCTGACCAACGGATATTTGACCGTCGTTGTATTCATAAGAGCTCCTCGAGGCTACAATGTAAGATTCACTACTACACTATCGACGGGGAACAGCAGTTCGAATCGTTTTACTTGGAGTTGGTTTTTAGGGTCGACATTCTCAAGTCGCAATTTGACAGCGTTTTTCCTTGACTCTCTTCTTATGTTCGTCTTTTTTTGTCATATTCTTGCAGAGTCTGGAGCAGAATGCCATCGGAAACATTCTCGTTGTGTTTTTGCTACTTGGTCTACTTCTAGGGGTAGTCTCAGGTTGGCTCTGGCTCATTGGAAAAGGGTGGTAATCTCAGTTCATAGCCCAATATGGACATTCAAAACATGTAAAATTTTCATGGCAAATACATTTATGCAGTGTTACCCTTTTAGTGTATTCAGGGTATGTTGAATGGAAAATTCCAGCTAGCTGAATGAAATTTCAGTCCATGAAGGTCGTCGTCTCAAACACTGCATAATGACATTCCCACACACGACTCGTCTTGATTCATTTCTGGAGAGAAAGGCATCTAAATTTCGTCTATGATGAGCGTAGCATGTCCTTGCTACGTGCGAACTATGCTACAACATGAAGAGGGGCATTTGCTCAAGTGTCATCTGCGAGGAGCGCAGAACTTAGCCATAAAAAAATTCCGGTAACTTCTGGGAATGTGTGTGTGTGCCCTCGGTTTGAATACGGGGGAACAAAAGTAGAAGGAAGAAATTGGCACCCATTCGACTACATAGTCGAAGGTACCCCTAGCCATGAGTCTATTATAGAACATTTCTACCCACAGGAAACGTAAATTTAATAGAAGCAACCCCAGATGATGCTAGTGCAACGATTGTGATTTTCTAGAGTTCATGCAGAGGCGGAACTAAACTCTCATGTATGCCACCTAACAATTGATGAACACTGTGTGATAACCAGCTTTCGAAGATGGTTAAGGATTGATGTGTTATGATCACCGGTGTACATAAGTTGTACATAATTGGCTTCCACAAATGACCCTATTTACAAACGAGTTCTAATGGTTTTAAGTCAAATTGAAAATATAGCTTGAATCGGAAAAACCGATCGCATCAGCTGGCCTAGTTTTCAGATATCCTAATCAGTAATGAGTAGCTTGTTCATCGTGCACTCGTTGGTGTCAGTGTCGTTTCTTACTTCATTGTGATTGGGCTTCTAAGAAAATTTTCTCCTAGAGCTACTTGACTGTGTTTTAATTAGATGATGTATTCTAGGTCAAACTTTCTAAAAAAAGTTTGAAGTATTTCAATATATATGGTTCACGAATTGTGAGCTGAGAGGAACTGTAAGAATTTCAACATGTATCCTAGATCATAATCAACTCTTCCTTCACCGTGATCAACAACTTGATGTCATTGTACTGACTCAACTTGATGTCATAGACCTTTTATACATCAATTCATGAGCAGGGTACTTGACACAAGCTTTGTGTCTTGTGCTAGTTGGTGTCGACCATATATAAGTTGGCATCATGATATGCTGTCAGTGCACGTAGCTTTTCACACTCATTCCATAGTGCCCGAAGACTGCAATGCTCATAACATGAACTCTGATGGTGAAAGGTTTTCACATAATCAGTGTAAGTGCATGTGGATCTTGGTACTCTAGATCTCAATGCGTCCTATGGAAATTAACTTAACAGTTCAGACTTTACAGCTGTTCAGCATGATGCTACTAATGTCACTAAGTCATTGACCTCATTTTGCAACATTACAGCTCGTTTGAAGATACATTTCAAACGAGAGTTCCATCCAAAATTAAATACTCGTCTATTTTAAAATAGGCGAATAATGCTGGAAACATACGCATGTAGGTAATCTTCCAAAATTCTAGCTGTATGATGTGGGTTTCATGTGGGTTCATAAGTCCAAGTCAGGATTATGTATAGTGCACACATCCAATTCCATACTCTCTGCACGTAACTAGGCTAAACCCATGTCACAGATTAAGGCAAGTTGGAGAAGTACTTTAGCCATATTTAGACCGGCTCTGAGGAAATTATGATAATGCAGGAGGTTTATGTAGTCAATTTGACAGAACGCAGCAGGCACAGTATTCAGTTCTGATGCTGCCTCCTGTGTGTCATGATCTTCTTTGCACTCCCGTCATTTTGTCTTTGGAATACTACTGAACTCCTGAGAAAGCTTTTTGACTTTCATCACAAACTTCATTCAAAATTGACATTAGCTGTCTTGCGGCTGATTTTTTCCTTATCAACGCATGTACTCAATGCAAACTTTTTGCAACGAGGTATGATCGTTAGTTGAAGCTCAACTGTTAGCGTCGTTGTCACTTTTATTACTCGATTTCCACTCGGATAAGACACCACTCGCTTTGTGTCCAACTTGCACTAGATTCCAAGGAAGATTATCTGGTTTAGGGGTCAGACCAGGCCATGTCCATGCGTAACAAGGTGCAGCGGACATCTCTCACGCAAAGGCGAGTTACTGCCATTCATCACATGTAAAAACCAGAAGAATCTGCTGCCTCCTCGTCGGCCTTTGGTATATGTATCAAAGTTCACCATCCTTAAAAAGCTAAGGCTTATGGGTTTTCTTTCATCCTACATGTGAATGTCGAACTGTCAGCTGAGCACAGACAGGTTTTTGGACGATACATTAAGCCCACCATTGATCATGGTGGGCCGATGCTCACAGGAGAAATGAAATTTGATTATCGTCGGCAATTTCAGAGCGTGACACTTTCATTTCACTTTCATTCACTTTTTCTGCGAAGCCTACTTGTAGCAGATGAGGGAAGAATCATAAGCTTAAAATAGACCGTAGTTGGTGTTTGTAGGATCCTCTAAGAAAGTCGGAGTACTGTAGTGAGTCCAAATCGATCTTCAGAGGGGAAGCCTTTCAGTAATTCAGTCCACTCCGTTTTGTACACCGTATGACTGATATCCATAATACGGTTGGTGTATATGGGTGTCTCTACATACCTGACCCTACGGCGTCTACATAAAACATGATGTAAGAACACCTCTCAGTGAAGAAGTTGAGTTAGTCTAGACGCAGTGCAAATGAGGCCAATTTTTTCAGACTACACTGTGCTGGTACATTTGACCCCCTCTACGGCTGATGTGCATGCCTAACGTCTTAGAAATTTGCCAATGACTTCTACTTTCGTCAAAGTATCTCTCATTGTATCGATTTCTCGTGAACGCATTTCCATCTGCTGTATATTGCACTGTTTGTCCGTTACAGTCTGGTTACATGAAATGTAAAGGTCTTACAAATATATGTATCGAAAAGAAGAGCAAGTAAGAGGTTATACCATGAATCAGATGTGTTCAGATTTTGACTGTGAAGCAACTCTTCCACGTCGGGACTGGAGACCAATTCGAGCCATAATCCTGCAGAGTTCATAATTTCAGACATTTTACTTCAAAAGATTCTTGCGAGATATTTTTAAATGAACACAGCTAATGTTGACAACTGAGAAACAAAACTCTTCAAACATTAACGACCATATGTTTCAGCAATTCATTCACAAGTATAAAAATTGGCTGGGATCCGCTGATCTATCTGACACAAGAGTAGGATGCACGACTGATCACGGTTTACGTACAACATTAAATGCACAATAAAATCTCCTACATTCCTTAAGGTCATTTGAGCAGCTCAACGGTTTCTGCAAATTAAGCTGCAGAAGTGAAAAGCTGACGAAAACACTCAAATTCAAGGGGATGAAGAGGAAATACCACTGTGGAGTAAGAGAATCACTGGAACTCAAGTAAGCGATGTAAGCAACAGAGGTAGAGGCAAATTTTTTAGAATTGAAACTGGACTTTGGGTCTAACAAAAATGGAAGAAAACTTGCGATTAAAACTCAGACAAATTGAGTCTGCTCAAATCGTCCATGAAAGCCTTTGGCAGGCTATCCTTACTTTTTGCATGATATTTAGCTCTTCAAATCTCGAGGGTATCAAAATTGACATCATGTGACCAATATCCTATAATAGTTGTTGGGACTGTTCATGTTCATGTTCTATATCATTGTCTTTCATAGAAACTCCAACACTCAAATGAGTGCCTGATAGAGCATCTAGACTTGTCTTAATGCTCAATCAGGTATCCATCTTCACCCGTTTGCAAGGATTGAAGTTGGACCTTAAGCAGCAAAATCCTATGATGCATGTCCCGGATCTGTTCGACTACCTTCCTATCACTTCAAGACTCATTTCATCTTTGAGCTTGAAATAGCTGCAAAACATTGATGTACACCGTTTTGTGTGTACGTGCAGAACTCTATATGAGAGGGAAAGATATCCAAGGTTGTCACGAACGATGTTTTTCCTCATCGTCCTGACAGTAGCCTTTGTGTGGGCAATATTTGCTGGCTACCTCATACCGAGTCGAGTATCGTCGAGTCGTCTGTAGTGTGCCTCGTCAAAATCTGCAATGGCACGGCAAACTGGATCTGCCGCTACAGGATTCGGAATCGGAGCATTGAGCTTCGACTGGGCAGCACTGCAATCGTACTACGGGAGCCCTCTGGTCGTTCCGTTGTACTAAGTGGTGAATATGGCTGTTGGATGTTCCCTTTTCGTGTACGTTGCCACTCCGTGGTCTTAGTGGAACACGTACCATGCGAAGCATTCCCCTTGAGTACAAGCGAACTGTTCACCTTCGATGGGGCAGCGCTTTAACCCCACGCACCTCTAGACCAAGTTCTTCATCCTGGATGAAGAACTCTGCAGAAAAAAATAGTCTCCTTGAGTTTACTTCGGCTTACGCCATGTCCTTTGGAGCTACTATTTAAGCATTTTCCCCTTTTTCTATCGAATGGTAAGTGAGTGAAACTGGTTTTATGAATATCATTTCACGACGGCCGATGACGCAGGGATGTCTGGCAGCGGAGCAGAGCGTCTTTCAAGGACAAGTTCGATGTTCACACCAGGTTGATGAGGAGATATGATACTGGTCCTGAAATCTGGTCCCAGATAATATTGATCCACACAGCAGCAGTACCTAATGCCATAACCATAAGATAGGAGTCGCAACTGCAAATGCCTTCCCGGGCCGTTCTCCTATATACTGCCCTTTCTGCTACTCTTCCCTTCCACTTGCGGTTCTGAAGGCCACCGCAGACACCATCTTTCCAATAATCCTGGAGAATACGAATTTTATAATTGTGCACTAGAACTTGTGAGATTGAGGACGTATCAAACTGATTGGCTGACGGAGAGCAGAGAGCGACCTGCGGCTCTCTTCTTGCTTGTCTAGCTGTTTACGCTCTTCCCTGGCCTCGGACGTTGCTAAAAGGGGCAGAATTAACTAGTTCAATTTTTAGTTGACTGGAAATGTGAATCGACGTGCAGTTCTATTATAAGATCATCGTGAAGTTTGTGACGGCAAGCTCGTCATTACACATAGTGGTGGATGCAGGCACCAGGTCTGAACGTGCTCTCAGAGTATACACTATTGGATACTGGTTCCAGGTCAGCCTTTGACGAATGTGTTCTTCAAAGCCAACAGCAACGTAGCTGTCTCCCACGCCAGGAATCTCCTTCAAGACCTGAAACCGGGACACTACATGAAAAGACCTCCGAGAGCGCTTTCTTCCTTGAAGTAAGTTCCAACCCTGATGCACATCCTTACGCACTGACTTTCACAATCTGCAATCAAATTGTCTCGTGTACACTTTATCCCATCCAAGTTTTCACTACCATATGAGTAAACTTTTGCTTAAAAAAATCCTGGATTCTG